ATGCTAACCAATCAGAAGCACTGAGCCTTGGTCCCCCTCCAGCTGGCCGCTAACCTCAGGGATCTCACTCAGACTCTGCGCTCGGCCCATCGCCGGTGATGGACAGTGGCAAGGGCCCCTCCCCGCGTACTTGGCCCCGCTCCCTCTGACCCTGCCTCTCTGACAGGTTCCACACCATGTCCATCATGCTGGCAGTGGACATCCTGGGCTGCACCGGCTCGGCCGAGGAGCGAGCAGCGCTGCTGCACAAGACCATTCAGCTGGCGGCCGAGCTGCGGGGGACTATGGGCAACATGTTCAGCTTCGCTGCGGTCATGGGCGCCCTGGACATGGCCCAGGTACTGAGGGGCCCGCCTAGAGCTGGGCACCCTGTAGACTGGAAGCGCCCTGGGCGGGTTTCTCCGGGATGGAAATGGGAAGAGCTTTGTGAGTTCCTAGGCATGGCTGTGAAAGAGTAACCAGGAGAACGCAGTTCCCCAAGGGCTGGCCAAGGACACGTTCTTTTCCCTTCCCTGGGTCTCAGTTTCCCCACTTGTAGGATGAATGAGGAGTATTTGATGCATTTAAAGAAAACACAAAGGCCAGTGAGGTGGCACAGACCTGTAATCCCAGCCAACGGGGAGGCTGAGGCAGGAGGATTACAAGTTCAAAGCCAGCCTCAGCAACTTACTGAGACCCTGTCTCCAGATGAAATGAAATTTGGAAAAGGCTGGGAGTGAAGCTGAGAGGTGGAGCACTTGGAGGTCAACCCCCAGTATTGCCAGAGAGAGAAACATGACACAGTATCATTGAATGGACACTCACCTGTGCCCTGGGCTGGTGCTACACTGTTTACCAGCATTGATTCCTGAAAAGACTCTCATGAGGTGGATGCCTCTGTTGTCTGCTCTTGTTACAGATGGAGCAACTGAAAGCAGTACTTGCCTGTGGTCACACAGGTCCAAAAGTTTAGGATTTGAACTGATTTCCAGTGCAACCATTATGCCACACTGCCTCTCCTGTGCCTAATAAATAGGAACAACAGGGGCTCGGGGGCAGAGTCTCAGGTTCGCGTCTCAGCTCTGCCACTTATTTTCAGAATAATCTTGGGCAAGTCATTCCCACCTGAGATTTAGTTCCTTCAGCTGTAAAATGGGTTGTGTTGGCAGCATCATGACATGAAAGGCAGCCTACACTGTCCTTGGTCCACCAATGGTGGCCAGAACAGCTCTTGTTATCCCACATCTGTGTGTCCACTCAGCAGGGTGGCCTGTGGCCAGCATCCACTGCAGGCCACTTCCTTGGGCAACTTCTCACAGTCTGATCTCCCCAGATTTCCCGGCTGGAACAGACATGGGTAACCCTGCGGCAACGACACACAGAGGGTGCCATCCTGTATGAGAAGAAACTCAAGCCTTTTCTCAAGAGCCTCAATGAGGGCAAAGGTACCTCCCTGCCTTGCTGTGTGACCTTGGACAGGTTCTAGCCCTCTCTGGGCTGCCATAGATTCTCCCAGCGTGGATGATAAGGAGAGCTTGGTGAGCTTACTTTTTGCACCTGGCAACCTCATTAGCCACGTCCAAGTCTAGGCTCAGCACTTGGGACTGCGTCATCGCTGCTGTAGGTGCACCCAGGGGAAACTAAAAGGAAGGGTCTGTCTCAGGAGTCTGGATCCCCGGGAACTCTCTGGGACCTTAGGCAGGCCCCTCTCCTCTCGCCCCTCAGCTCCGGGGAATCAGTGGATGTGGGACCTCTAGGGTCCCTAAGTGCCTGCTCTCTCTGTCCCCTGCAGAAGGCCCTCCGCTGAGCAACACCACGTTTCCCCATGTGCTGCCACTCATCACTCTGCTGGAGTGTGATTCGGCCCCTGCTGAGGGTCCCGAGCCCTGGGGCAGCACGGAGCATGGCGTGGAGGTGGTGCTGGCCCACCTGGAGGCCGCCCGCACGGTGGCACACCACGGAGGGCTCTACCATACCAATGCCGAGGTCAAGCTGCAGGGTGAGTGTGGTCGATGCCCAGGTTCCCCTCCTCCCAGCATCCACTCGGTGCTCGGTGCTCGTCCCTCTGTTCTGCCCCAGCTCCCCGCTCCTCATCTTATCACCTTCTTCACTCAGTAGTTCAACAGGCAATTGTTGGGTGCACCTTGGCTGTGGTCCTTAGCTTGGCTGAGCCTCAGTGTTCTCGTCTTTGAAATGTAAAAGAAAGAGGTGCCCAGCCTGGTACCTGGGGTGGAGACAGCCGCCACACTTCAGGGAGCTCAGTTTGTAACACCCTCACATGAAAGTGGCAGTGTCTGTTACTGCCTTTGGTGTTAAGTTGCAGAAATTCACTGGAGATAAATTAGAAATTACAGCTGAGCAAAAATAAGATTTAAAAACTGCCGCAATCTGGCTGGGCACAAATAACCCAGCCGCCAAAAAGCCTTATAGGTTCAAACAGCAACTCTTTATTCCCGAACTCTCACCAGCACTCTACACACACTTTCTGGGAACACACTCCCTCCACCGGGCTCCTGGAACCCCGGAGAACTCAATGGGAACTCCAAAGTAGCTGTGCCTGAGGCAGCAGGATCCGCCCTAATCCCAGCAGGATCCGCCCTAATCCCGGAGCTGGGTCACCTTTCAACCATTCCCTCTAGCAAAATGCCAGGCGTCATTCGACTAAACTGTGGCTCTCAACAAAAAACTTACCCACAATTACCCAGGGGTAGACTCTGTGAATATTCTGATAGGTTTTTCTGACTTTCTTGCCTTTTTTTTTCCCCAAGAAGGAATAAAAAGATATGTATTTTATATTTACTTGTAAAACGTATATATGTTTCTTAAAAAAATGGAACTTATGGGAAAAAAAAGGAAAGAAAGAGAAAACGATCATGCAAGATCTCAAAAACTTCCAAAGAATTAAACATTAATATTTCGTCTTCTAAGGACTGGGGATTCAGCTCAGTGATAGAGTATTTGCCTAGCATGTACGAAGCCTTGGGCTTGATCCCTGGTAATGAAAAAAATGCTTGTCTAGAAAATAGTAGGAGAAAGACCAGACACTGCCATGCATGGTTATGTTCATTAACAGACTTTGTTGGCTCCCTGGTGGGCTATGGGGAGGTTGCCTCAAATGAGACCCTGAAGAATGTGGGGACTCTGAATGGGAGCCCCAGCCTCCTTCCAACCAGATGGTGGTCCCTGACCCTGTGCCCCTGCCCTGCAGGATTCCAGGCCCGGCCAGAGCTCCTGGAGGTGTTCAGCACCGAGTTCCAGATGCGCCTCCTCTGGGGCAGCCAAGGGGCCAGCAGCAGCCAAGCCCGGCGCTATGAGAAGTTCGACAAGGTTCTCACTGCCCTGTCACACAAGCTGGAGCCTGCTGTCCGCTCCAGTGAGCTGTGACCCCCAGGAACCTTCCCCTCTGCAGCTGTGGGCAGCAAAGGGGGCAGAGCCCTTTCCCCAGAGCACCCCAGGGACACTGTGATCAACCCAAAATGTTCTGGGTTCAACTCCAGGATCTCCATTGCAACTCCAGGGTCCTGCCTGGACTCTGGGCTCCACCTTCCAGTCACGTACGTACCAGTCTCCCTTCAGGAAGGACAGGGACCTTGCTCCTCCTACCAGCTTCTGCTGTCCCCCTTCCTGCCCAGGTTCCCTGTTTTTGAGCCATGGGAGGCCCCTCATGCCTCCTCCCTCTCCCCTGGGTATTTGCCTCCACTGGCACCAAGGCCTCCATCTTGCTGTAAATAAGTCTGTTCTGTAAATAGATGTACAGAAACCATGTTCTTTCTTTCATATAATAAACTTTTATGACTCTTTCTTCTGTCTCTCAGAAGGGGCTGGGGGTGGAAAGAAGCACTTTTTCTCAGGTGAAAAGTAGAGAACTTCATTTAACAATTGCTTGCTGGGCATGATGACACATGTCTTGTAATCCCGGCCACTCAGGAGGCTGAGGCAGGAGGATCATGAGTTTGAGGCCAGCTTCAGCAACTCAGCAAGACCTATTTCCAAATAAAAATTAAAAGGGCTGGAGCCTCAGTAGTAGAGCACCCCTGGGTTGAAAAAAAAACCCAAAAACTTATTTAGCACTTGGAACATTCCAGTTTGTTCCAGGAGCCAGGTGATAATTCCAACCTAGTGGGAGACATACAGGTATAACTTCCTTCTGTCCCATGCCCTGCCTCAGGAAGCCACAGCAACGATTATCACAAACACAAGGACCCAAGATGTTTGGAGTAGAAGGGTTTTCAGAAATCTAGGACTTCAACTCCCTTCTGTAAAACAGAAATGGAGAGAGAAAGGACTTTCCCTAGGTCCCAGCAATAGAACGAGGAAGGCTACAAACTGGCTCCCCTGACCCAGGGTTCTTTCTCAATAGAGGGAAGTAATAATTTCAGGTTTGAGATGTGGCCCTGAAGTCATGTGTGTGTGTGTGTGTGGGGGGGTGTTGTGTGTGTTAAGCTGGGTAGGGCAGGGACCTTCAAGCTAGACCACAAAGACAGCTCTCAGTTCTTTCACTCCAGTGGGTGGGAGAGGTAAAGGTAAGCAATGTAGATCAACAGGATCCCAAGCCAACCTGGGGTCCCCAGGAGCTTGTTCACTGCATTTGAGATATCTGGGTTCCTTCGCCTCTGAATTATTTGACCAATCGGACCTGTACCACATGACATGGCACAAAGCATCTTTGGCTAAAGCTGGAGGTGGTTGAGTTTTGTTGTTCATTAGCAGGGGCAACTTGGATAAGAAGCTTAACCTCTTGGGTCCCAAATTCCTCCTCAAAATGAAACAAGGACAATCACAGAACCCATCTGCTAGGATTGATGGTAAGCATTTGGTATGTAGTGGCATCTAGGTAAGGGACAGTTATGTTTCATACATAATGGATTGTCAGTGATCATTTATCAATTACTTTCTGAGTCAAAATACTATTTGCCTGCACCTCATTGAAATATCACCATTTCCATGTTGAGGTTGTGGCTTAGTGGTAGAGTGCTTGCCTACTACATATGAGGCATTGGCACTGGGTTGGATTCTCAGCATTGGATACAAATAAATAAATAAAAAATAAAGGTCCATCAACAACTAAAAAAAAATTAAAAGAGAAATATCACCATGTCCATGTATAGCAGATACTATTATATTATAGCATGTGTATGGCACCTGAAGCTAATGGCACATAGCGTTGCTCACCAAAAGCTATTATTAGTGAACCCTCTTTTGTCATATAAAAGAAGAGGTTGGAAGAGGCGCTTTGCAAGATGTAAGGTTCCGCACAAGTTTTTGTTATAGTTGTTACGTTACCTTTTGTGGTCATAATCCTTTATTTATCCCTTTCTGAGCTTCCGTGATGGTCCCCTAGTTACCGTGGCCATGGAAACGCGGCCCGCTGACCCGGACTGGACGGTTCGCGGGCTCCCCCTGGAGGCACCCTGGAGTCCTGCTGCGCGACGACGGGGCGGGCCTTTGAGACGCGCGGGAGGGGAGCTGGGAGTTGTAGGCCATGGGCGTGGCTGCGGCGGAGCAGTGCACGCCGGGAGCTGTAGTTCGTACGTCGAGTGGTTGGCTGCCCCTGACTGAGCTTGGGCCGCTCCCGGATGGCTGCCGCCACGCGCGGCTGCCCGCCCTTGGGCTCGCTCCTCCGGCTGCTAGGGCTGCTTTCAGCCGCGACTGCCTCCTGGGACCTAGCTTCGCTGCGCTGCAACCTAGGCTCCTTCTGCGAATGCGACTTCCGGCCCGATTTGCCCGGTGAGGGGACAGGGAGCCCGGAGCGAGGAGCGGGTGGATAGGGAGCTTGCCTCAGGGCCGGGCATCCGTGAACCCGAGGCGGGAACCCGCAGACCTGCGGACGGCCAGAGCCGAAGTGGGGCCGGCTCCGAGGGGACTTGAGCGCCTGTGGCACGGACCTGAAGCGTAGGTTATTGGTGCCCGTTAGAGTCCCAGAGGGTTTGCGAGGATGAAGAGAGCGAGCCTGTTGCCAGGAAGGCCCCCGCGGGGACGTATTAGGCCCTCATGGAGTGGACTTGCAGTCCAGGGAGAAGCCTGTATTGGGGATTGGCAGGGGCTTGGGCATAATGGGTTGGCAGCTCCCGCTCATTTAGGGCTGGCGCAATCTGGAGAACCGCCTGGTGGGGGCGCGGCCCAGATAAGCCAGGCTGATAGGTGGCCCGTGCAGATAGCCGCAAGGGCCCTATTCCCTGTCCACACTTGGGACAAGCATGCCAAACACAGGGTTCCCTAGACCAAGTCCCAGGCATGATTTCCACCCTGAAATTCTACCTTGGTTCTGACACTGTCCTGTGACCCTAGGTCTGGAGTGTGACCTGGCCCAGCACTTGGCCGGGCAGCATCTGGCCAAGGCATTGGTGGTGAAGTCCCTGAAGGCCTTTGTGCACGATCCCAGCCCCACCAAACCGCTGGTTCTCTCCCTGCACGGCTGGACAGGCACTGGCAAATCCTATGTCAGCTCCCTCTTGGCTCAGTACCTCTTCCAGGGTGGCCTTCGCAGCCCGCACGTGCACCACTTTTCCCCCATCATCCACTTCCCGCACCCCAGCAACATCGATCGCTACAAGGTAGGCTGAATGTGTCTTGGACCACCATTGGCCTGCACATGGGGTGACAGACCCTGAGGAGTGAGTCCTAGCCCAGTAAGTGGAGTCACTTGTCCCAGGTCACACAGCCAGCTGGATCTTCAGCCCTCAGAACCCATCCTGAACAGAGCGTGAGACTGTGCCATTCTGTCTGGCAGGGAGTTCTTTTATTGGCTGGGAAACAGTAATGGTACCTACCTGCCAGTTGCTGTGAAGGGGACAGCATTATACAATTGCAGGTATCACTTATTGAGCACCTGTGTTTGCCAGACAGTCTGCTTTATCGTATCCCTGTAAAGCACTGAGCTCCAATTTGTGGCTCAGAGGAAGCACTAAAACACTGGCTCTGACCACTGTTGTTGATTGCAAGGCACCTTCCAAGTCCATCTCTCTTGGCTGCCAACACTTTGGGAGCAAAGTTCAGGTTCAAGTAGTGGGAAAGAGCTTCTCCTGGTATAGAAAAAAGTAGATGTGGGCTGGGCTGGGGCTTAGTGGCAGAGTGCTTGCCTAGCATGAGTGAGGCACTGGGTTCGATCCTTAGCACCACATAAAAATAAACAAAATAAAGGCATTCTGTCCATTTACAACTACAAAATAATTAAAAAAAAAAAAAAAAAAAAAGAGTAGATGTCATGGAAGGAGCCCTCAACAGGGAGGCAGGGGCTTGGGTTGAGTCCCTGTTCTACCGACATGCTGTGCGATCTTAGGCAAGTCTCTGCCCCTCTCTGGGCTCTCTTTTTACCATCAGTCTTAAGAATGGTTTTCTGCTCTTTGGGAGACTGTATCTCCTGGGGAGGGGTTTTGTTCTTGGTTTGGGAAGAAGTTTGGGGTTGAAGCTCTCTGGCTCCCTGGAACTCCTCTTTTCCCCGTAGAAGGATCTTAAGAACTGGGTCCAGGGGAACTTGACTGCCTGCGGCCGCTCCCTCTTCCTCTTTGATGAGATGGACAAGCTGCCCCCAGGCCTGATGGAGGTCCTGCGGCCTTTCCTGGGCCCCTCCTGGGTTGTATATGGAACCAACTATCGAAAAGCTATCTTCATCTTCATCAGGTAGGGCTGGTTTTGTAATGGGCACAGCAGGAGGACACTTGTCCCATGTCCAGCTGTCTGCTCTTGGCCTGTGCTCCCAGGGTCCAGTCAGGCTGTCCCAAAGCCCCTCACTCTTGCTGGTGACATCATCTAAGGTGGCTGACGACCCCTTTGACATTCCCAAAGCTATTCCAGCTTCTGTCTTTGTATCCTCATCCCTTCTTTGCGGAGACCCTGCTATGTCCACTTATCCCTCGTTTTTGGACAGGAGGACAAATGGGACTGGAGTTCTCATCCTCTAATTCTCGCTCAGGTCCTGGCCATTAACTCAGGCAAAACTGTGTTACTTTCCTGAGACCCCACCTCCTCTCTGAGCGGTCCCCATGTCCCCATGTTGGTGGCCCTTTGGCCTACCGGAGGCTGCAGAAGGGGAGTCAGTTAAGGACACAGAGTTCTATAAACTAAGTTGCACGGCACACGTGTGTGCGTACGGCATGGCCACGCTGGAGAGGAGAGCTGGGGAGAGCAGTGTCTCCATCGGCTGACCCCTGGTCCTGTTAGGTGGCACCAGGGAAGTGAGGGCCCACTCCGGCCCTGGTCCCTGGCTGAGCCTCTGCCTGGGTCCCCCATGATTTTAGCAACACTGGTGGTGAACAGATCAACCAGGTGGCCTTGGAGGCATGGCGCAGCCGCAGGGACCGAGAGGAGATCAGCCTGCAGGAGCTGGAGCCAGCCGTCTCCCGAGCTGTGCTGGACAACCCACACCGTGAGTTACTCGGGCCCTGCCCCGTGTGGCTTCACCCGCAGCCCAGTGGGCTGACTGCCAGGGAGGGCCGGGTTCCTTGGGGTCTCAAGTTCTGCCACTGACCCAGCAGAGGCTTCAGCACTCCCAGGTCTGCGACCTGAATGGGTCACAACCCCTCAGAGCCTGTGTCTGGAAAGGGGCTAAAAGGAGAGGGCCCAGCACACCCCTCCTCTGCCCGGGGGGCTGGCTTCCCTCTTATGTAGCACGTGTCCTTCCTGCAGATGGTTTCTGGCACTCGGGCATCGTGGAGGAGCGCCTGCTGGACGCCGTGGTGCCCTTCCTCCCGCTTCAGCGGCACCACGTGCGGCACTGTGTTCTCAATGAGCTGGCCCAGCTGGGCCTGGAGCCCCGGGACGAGGTGGTGCAGGCCGTGTTGGACAGCACGACCTACTTCCCCGAGGATGAGCAGCTCTTCTCGTCCAATGGCTGCAAAACAGTGGCCTCTCGAATCGCCTTCTTCCTCTGACCCCAGAATGGCATCCTTCCTTGCCTGGCCAGCCTGCAGGAAAGGCCGGAGGGACCCTTGTCCAGAGACTCTGGAGAGTGGGCCCCAGAGTCACGCAGTCAAGATGAAGAGGGGTATTGGCCAGGCCAAGGATAGACGCCGGGAAAGGCCTGGCTTCAGAACTGGTTAGAGGCGTCCTGGCCTCTGCTCCCGGTCACCCTGGAACCTCACTGAGCCCTGACTTTCTCCTGCAGCCTGAGCCTTCTTAATGTGAATGTAACTCAGGGATCAAGGTTCATGGCTGTCGTCCTTTCTGGGTCTGTTACCCACACCCCTGGCCCTGGCACTGTACCCCACCTCACTCTACAGTCTGTGACCCCAGTATCACAGCTCAGGCTGGGACTTAACAGTTTTCATGAGTTGAGGGACTCAAGATGCCACCTCGGCCTGGATTTACAAGTTTTTAATTTTTTAAAAGAAGAGAACAAGTATAATAAACGTAGCCATGGACTAGAGGAACGCTGGTCGAGGTTGCTTTTGCTTTGGAAGGACTCAGCCTCCGGTGCCTGTGGGGGCAGAATCGTCCCTGCTCCAGCGAGAAGCAAGGGTTTCACTGAGCTTCCTCAGGGAGCAGCACAATGACCGTGACCTCAGCAGCTTCCGTCTCACTGGGGCCCTGGCTGGGGCCCTGGCTGGGGCTGGGGGTAGAACTGGCCTTGCTGGGCCTTGGGCTCGATGCCATGGTACTGTAAGTCTTGCTGGAGCTGGAGCCCGTGCTCTGAGTTGCGCTCAGGGCAGCCTCTGTCTTACTAGGTGTCCCGCTCTGGTCCTGGGTGACCATGGTTTTGCTGACATCCTGGGAAACCTGAATCTTGCTGGAATTTTGGATCAGTCCCCAGCTCTGGTCCTGGGGGACATCATCCCTGCCTGGTCTCCAGCTCTGGTCTCGGGCAGCCTTGGTCCTTCTGAGTCTCTGCCTTGGGCTCCGGGTACCCTTGGTCTTGGGCCTCTGCTTTGGGCCCTGGGTGGCCTCTGTCCTGCCAGCCTTCTGGCTCTGTTCTGGGATAGCTGCTGTCTTTCTGGAGAAGCACCTTTGACTTTGGGCAGCTGGGGTCTTGCTGGAGCTCTGGATCTGGTCCTGGGTGGCCTCAGCCTTGCTGGGCCTCTGCCTTCTCTCTGGGGAAGCTTGGGTCTTCCTGAGGTCAGGGCTCAGGTGGTCCTCGTTGACCTCAGTGTCTGAGGATGGGGTCTTCTGTGGTGAGGAGACAGAGGGTGTGGCAGTGGTGGTGGGGCTGCTCCTGTATCCCCGGCAGATGGTGGACATGGTGGAGTCTGAGGTGGACTTGACCCTGTCTGGGAAGGGAGTGCCAAGAGTATCCATCAGGCCTGCCTTACCCTCCCTGGACAGCTCGAGGAAAAAGGGGCTTCCAGGCGACCCCTACCAGAACCCCAGTGGCTTTGTACATCCAAAGCCGCAGTTTTTCCCACTCACACCAGCCTGGCCTCCTCACAACCCTAGCTCTGAGGCGGGCCAGGCTGTGACATGAGCCACTTGAGCCCCTGCCCATCCCTGGACCCCTCCACTCCAGCAGGGCCCTCGCCTGTTCGCTCCTCCCAGCGCCCAACGCTGTGCTCCCTTTAGCTGCTTGAGGTCTTGGCCTCTAAGGGCCACCTGTGCTCAGGCCTGCTCGACTCCCTTCTGGCTGTGTCCGCCTGTTGACTTGGGCTCACTACCCAGGGAAAGGACTGTGCCCTTCATCCCTGTTACTGTTGCCAGGCATAGGCCGGGGCCAGGGCACCCCGTGAGGTTTGGGGATTGCCCCGAGTGACAGGAAGGAGACAGCACTGCCATTCTCCTGCCGAAGGGCTCTGGAGCAGCCTTCTGAGATTTTCCCTTTTGTCCCTTCCAGGCTGGTGCCCAGCAGAATTGCGGGTTGAAGCCCCTTGGACATGAACAGGGTTCAGTCCCAGGCCGAGGGGGAAAGAGAAAAGGATAGGCCTAGAGGGGATGAGGCAGGAGTAGCAGCAACATAAAGAGCCCGATGGAGAGACCAGTGTCCCTGCTCTGTGCTGGACACTGTCCCACTGAGTCCTCACACGCCCTCCATGAGGTTGGGACTTCTACTCCCACTGTGGAGTCCCCTGCCCAAGGTCAACAGCAGAGCCCAGGTTCACATCCCTTCTCACCCTGACCTTTAACCTCACTGCTGTTTTGCTCTCCTGGGCCGAGCAGGAGCCCAGGGACTTACAGCGGAAGATGGAACCTGAGGAGGTCTGGTCGAGGTAGCCTTCTGACAGGGATGTCACCTTGTGAGAGGCAAGCTCCTGGGTGTCCTATGGCAGAAAACAGGCTGGGCAGTTGCAGATTGGGAAGCCCTTGGGCCAGTGGCCACCTCTCTGGAAGGCCAGCAGGCCCTGGGGATTGTTCTCCCAAGCTTAGAGCTCCTCGCAGACACCAGGGTGGGGCAGGGTGAGAACACAGGCTGAGACTGCAGGAAGGGGAGTGGCCATCCAGGAAAGGAGGCCTGCGAGGGGCTGCTGGCCTCCATTTTCTCTGCAAAACGAACACGTTAGTTCAAGTGGGAGACAGGCCTCTGTAACTGTAAAGTGCTGTGTGCTGGCACGCAGCAGCGACGGCCGAGGAGCTGTTCATGCTCTAGGCACATCTGGACCACCTGGCACATCCAGAGGAGGACAGGTCCCCTGCTATGACCATCTCACAGACCAAGGCTTCTAGCATCCAAGTAACCTGCCCAGCCACTCAGCTGAGGAGGAGAGAAGCTGGGTTTGACTCCAGCCCTGCTGGACATCTCCCTCAGACCCTTGGCTGCTGGCCGCCTCTACCTGAGGTCACACCCGCAGGTGGTGAGGACGGTGGAGCAGGTGTCCATCCCATAGGCCCTGGGCTCTGAGCTCTACCAGATTCAGCTCAGCCTCTTCCTGAGGGAGGGAGCCCACAGTGAAGTGGGAGGGGTTCTGCAGACAAGAGCTTTGTATTTTGCCTTTGTTCTAATGCAAAATAGAAAAAGGGAGTGCCAGCAGGGGCAGGGGTAGGTTGCCTTTGGACGTAAACTTGATGTCTGTCGGCAGATGACTAGAGGAAGAAGTTTTGGGATGATCACAGGCACAGGCTGGCTCTTGTCCAGCATCTGGGGAAGGAGCTGGAGAGGGAGGCCGGCTACTTGTCCACTTACACAAAGAAAAGGGGAGACTCCCTATGGTGTTAAGAATCAGGGCAACCTGGGGGGTAGTGCTGAGTTGCAAGGGGGCTTAGGATGTGGCACAAAGTGGCACTGGGGAATGTGTTCTGTGTTGAGCTAGGAAATGGTGTCATGGTGTATTTAGTTTGTGAAAATTTATCCAACTGTTCACCTATGATTTTCACACTTCTCTGTTTACATTGCATTCAACAAAATGTTTTCAGAAACAATTTAAAAATAGGAAAAGGCTGGCACAAGTGGCCAGGGCATCCGCAGGACCTGTGGGGTGTGTGCAGGCCAGGTGTGTGACACCTGTCTCTGAGGCCGGCCTCTTTACCAGCCTCCCTGCAGGGACAGTCCTTGCTGGTGCCAATCCCATCTCAGAGAAGCCAGCCTCAGCCCCAGACCCCAGGGCCCCAGGCCTTGGTGAAGGGCCTGCTCACCTCTTTCTTCTCCTTTGCTTCCTCCTCCTCCTTGGCAGATGGGGCCTCTGCTGGCTCTACCTGCAGTGCCTGGGGGGTGGGCTCCGGCTCTTTGGAGCTCTCAAACAAAGGCTGGTCCCACTTCCACGAGAGCAGCAGGGCCTTGGCCTTCTCGCGCTCCAGTTCCCGCTCCCTCAGCATCCTGCCAAGCCATGCCCCAGGGTCCTGGGTCAGCCTCTCAGACTCCACCTGCCATCCCCAAAGACTAGGGTGGAGACCCTAGGAGGTGGAGGGGCAGAGGAACCTGAGCCCCAGTCAGTCCCCAGTCTCAGCTCCTGGCCCCTGCCCTAGAAGCTTACCCCACAACGTCCTCCAGGTTGCTGGCCCGAGGGCCACTCTTCCCCATCTGCATCAGCTGCAGCCTGGCCAGTTGGGCCACCTGGCTTTGAAGCACTTCCTCCACTGACATGCCCGGGAAGAGGCTGGTAATCAGTGGGAGAAGCTGCCGGGAAAGGGGTGACCAGAGCCAGGTGTGGGCCAGGGCAGGTGGCAGAAGGCCAATGCTGCCCTGCCTTGCAAAGTCCTACCTGGCCCTTCTCAGGGCTAAAGAGGGGTTTCACGAATTGTTTCTAAAGGGCGGGAGCTTTTTACTCAGAAGGACAGGAGACGTGAGGAAGGGACCAGTCCCACAGGGAGCCCTGATGGTGAGCCAGCTGGGGCTTCTGGAGCGAAACAGAGGTGGTCTGACCTCTGAGCTGCAGGACTGGGGCAAGGGAGCCTTCTCTGAGCCTTGGGGTCTGCATCTGTAGATGGGGGTGATGGTAACTCTCTGGTTTGGAGGGAGTGGCAGGGTCGGTGTGGTCAGAGCACAGCCACTCTTAGGAGTGCTCCAGCGTTACCTGCTCATGGCCAGCCGTGCAGGTTTCATTCAGGGACAGGAGGACCTTCAGGGCAACCAGGGTGCTGACTCCGGAGCCCACCCACCCTCCTCACCCAACAATAGCCCACCTTTGGTTGCTTGGGATTCAGGAGCAGGGCAGTGGCAACATCCTGACGGGCCCCAAAGATGTCCTGCAGGAGCTGTCGACTCTTGGCCCTGTACACGTAGTACTGGGCCTTACAGGGGTTGTGCTGAATGGCCGCTGAGAAGTGGTTCTCTGCCTTCTGGAACTGCCTGCAGGATGCAGTGGGCCCCGAACTGCCATGAGCATCACCTTCTGAGGGGAGATGGTGGCTCCTGGGCCCCACTGAGGAGATGGGGAAATCTAGGGGCTCTGTTCCCCCACTGTGCCCTCTCTTCCTCCTGCCAGCCACACCTCTGGTGGGCCCAACACTTAGATGTGGGTATGAAACTCCAGGGTAAATGAATATTTTTATGATCTTGGCATAGGAAGGAACTTCCTGAGACTATCATAAACCCAGCAGCTGAAATTTAAAAAAAATTAATTTGATTATGATTAAATAATTCCATATTACTGAGTAGCAAAAGTGCCACAATAAAAAGCAATATATAAAGTCTGGGGCATAGCTCAGTGATAGAGTGTCTGCCTGGCATGTTCTAGGACCCGGTCTCATCAATACCCAGACCCTGGGGGGAAAATATATAGGACAAATTATTTTTCCAGACAGCAGGCAATAAGCTGATTCTCTTAGCCTACAAAGAACTGTAATAGTAAAAAATTTTGCTAAATAAGCAATTTAAACATTTTTTTTAGTTGTAGATGGACACAATACCTTTATTTTGTTTGTTTATTTTTATGTGGTGCTGAGGATCAAACCCAGGACCTCACACGTGCAAGGCAAGTGCTCTACCGCTGAGCCCCAGCCCTAGCCCCTTAAATAAGCAATTTAATAGCAAAATGGGTAAAAGCTTTTGACAAGCTATAATGGCCGAGAAAGAGAGACTGGCCTGCAATAGTAAATAAAGTATTTAAACATGCAAAGTAAATAATCTTTCAGAGAGTTTTTCGTTCTTTTCTTTCTTTTTCTTTTTTGCCTAGGATTAGCAGAATTGAAGAATAATTTTAATACCCTATGCCAGGGAGGTGAGGGGAAATCAAGGTACTCTTTTCCTGAGGGAAGTTTTTGTTGGTTCACTGTTTTTGGAGAACAATATCATAATATCTATCAAAACTTTAAAGATGGGCTGGGGCTGTAGAATGCTTGCCTAGCATGTGTAAGGCACCAGGTTCAATCCTCAGCACCACATATAAATAAATAAGCAAATAAATAAATGTAGGTATTGTGTCCATCCACAACTAAAAAGATATACATTAAAAAAAAAAAAAAACTGTGGGTGCACGCCTGTAATCCCAGCAGCTTGGAAGGCTGAGGCAGGAAGATCGCGAGTTCAAAGTCAGCTTCAGCAACAGTGAGGCACTAAGCAACTCAGTGAGACCCTGTCTCTAAATAAAATACAAAATAGAGCTGGGGATGTGGCTCAGTGGTCAAGTGCCCCTGAGTTCAATCCCTGGTGCGCCCTAAAAAAACAAAACAAAAACAAAAAACAACTTTAAATGTTTAAGTTCTTTACCCAACAACTTACTTTCCAGTAAACCAGGCTACAGCTTTTACTAGCAGGAGAACCTATGTCCTGCTTGCTCACTGCAGGACTATTTCTAATTGAAACCTGAAACAGCCCGAGTGCATGTCAGCAGGGGTTTTTCTGAAGCCACCTATCCACCTCCACAGCAGGGGTACTATGCAGACAATGGAAGAGAAGGAAGTGACACCACGGAAAGTCAAAGGACAGACAGTGTGGGCTGGGGACGAGGCTCCTGGGAGAGCGCTGGCCTACACAGTGGCCCTGGGTGACCCCCAGCACTACAAAAAGAAAAAGAAAAAAACAAAGCAGTTTCGCATGTTTCCATTTCAGAAAATCCACTAACTGTTAGCATATGCCTGGGAAAAAGTCTGGAAGGGTCGTTATCCACCTTAGCAGGGAGCAGAGCTGGAGGGAGGTGGGGATGATAACTCACATTTCAAGTTATATGTTACTATTTAAATTTTCCATGAAAGTGTCACTACGACAATAATCAGGAAGAAAATAAAAGTATTTCTCGCCGGGACTTGAAAACTAAAATTGACATTTAGGAGAGAAGCAATCCCAGCAGGTGGCTTCCTGCAGGCTGGCCCGCACGCACGCCCGCCCCCCTCAGACCCGACTGGCACCTTCTCTTCTCTTCGCAGAAGCCCATCTTCTCCTGCAGCATGCCCATGCGCATGTTGGCGCCCTCGTCCTGCGGGCTCAGGGCCAGCGCCTGCTTGTAGTCTGCCTCTGCGAAGGCCAGGTTGCCCAGCTGGAAGAAGCAATCTAGAGTCCCAGGGTGGGAGCTGAGTGAGCCCCCCCCCAGGGGTGCCTGCCCAGCTGCTCCGCCCCCCTCCCCAGGGAGGCAAAACTGGTGGCTGACACCACCGAAGCTCTCAGTCTTCTTTGCACCCGGACGCCTTCTCCCACCTGCCTGATCTGAGAACTGGAGGAGACAGTTGTCTCGACATTTCCAAAGTGTGTCCCCAGGACACTGGGGATATCAAATGCTTCCTTCTGTCCCCCCACCCCCCACACCAACCCACCTTAGGGATGGCGCGGGGCCACTCACCGCCGCGATTGATGTAGAGGCCCTTCTCCTGCTGCTCCTCGCGGAGCGCCTTGTTGAGCAGCAGCACGCCCTCCTGGTAGGCGCCCTGCTTGTAGCAGTGCACCGCGAAGTCGTTGTAGGTCAGCAGCAGCTGGCGCTGTGCCTGCTGCACCATTTTATCCTGGTCGTCAGACAGCATGTCCAGTGCCTTCAGCAAGTCCTCCACGGCCCTGTCAAACTCCTGGAGCCTGCGGTATATGGTGCCTCTGGGGGGAGGGTGTGGCGGTGGCAGGAAGGGCCATGAGGGACAATAAACCCCCCTGACCAGCATTTGGTCTGGCAAACCACTGCCCTCCCTGGGCCTGCTGACCCATGACCTGTGAAGTTGGCGGGACCCTAGCTCAGGTTCTAGGTTTGTCCCGTGGACCTGCCCCCCCCCCATTGCTACTCTGATGACCTGCCCATCACTGGTAATGTTGTATTTCTCAAAAATAGCTTCTCTTTCTTTCAGGAGGCCAGGTGTCTACCTGCCTCTATATGAAGGTGACACATGTTTTACACCAATCTTCAGGTGAGGAAACCCAGGCTCGAAAGCAGAGGTTAACTGGCCCTGAATCATGTGTGTCCCTGAGCAGCGTGACCCTCCCAGTGGGAACCAATCAGCAGGCCTGGGGCTGGAGGATTCCAGGGTAACTGGGAAGGTGCTGTCTGATCCTCCAGGGGCAGTGACCCCAGCAGGAAGCAGGGAAAACTGTCAGAGGGCCAATGGGGAAACTGAGACCATGTAGCAGGTCTACGGGAGGCAGGCCCAGGACCCCTCCCCCAGTACCGGAAGAGGAAGAGGCTAGGGTCCAGAGGGTTGTTCTCGATGGCAGAGTCGATGCGCTGCAGCGCCTGCCGCAGCAGGCCCTGCACTGCCAGGATGCCGGCGTCCTGGCGGGCCTGCTGGGCCTGGTCCACCATCATCTGAAGCAGCAGCTTGGCCTGCAGGTTCTTGGGATCCAGCAGCAAGGCGCTGCGAAGGTCCCGATAGCAGAGCCTGGGCTGCCAGGGGTGGGGTGGCATCAGGGGCACTGGGTGGCTAAGTGTGGAGAGCCATTCTCAAACGTGACTGGGCGACTCCCGTTAAGGGTCTGAGGCTTCTGGCTGTGTCGGAACTTTCCCGGCCCTCTCCTGATGAGAGAACCCGTCCGTGTGGGGGTGTGACTGACCACTGACCCCGGGGGCCCAATCACTGACCCTGACCTTGGAGTGCGGCCCCCCCTCAACCTTCATTGGATGGAATTCTCCCCTGAATTTCTTGTTCCCCAATAAAAGGCTACTCCCTGGCGTGCTCGCTCTCTCTCTCCTGCTAGCCCTGAGTAATCCTTGCTGCCCTACGGGTGGTTCGAGGTTGGAGCCAGAGAGGGGAGCCGTCTCGGACCTGGTCATAGAAAAAGGTAACTGAGTCTGTGTGTTTTATTTCGATCTCTGCTAGCTAACTTTTATGCCAAGAACCTCATTAATGAAACCAATGTGCAGGCCGCATGGTGGAGCTAAGTGGAGCCCTTTCCTGCCCAGTGGAAGGGAGGGGGAGGACAGACCTCCAGGTGACAAACTGGCATCGTGTCATCCCTCCCTGGTGTCCCCCATGTTATTGTTTCATTTGGGAAAAGCTCCTCCCAGGCCTCATCCTTACTGACCCCTCTCGAGGTGTGACCCCACGTGAGGCAGGTCAGCCTCAGCATTTGTTGTCTCCTGTGAGCCTCCTCTGAGACGGAGGGGAGTGTGTGTCCTCCTGAAGTGACTGCCTTGTCCTTCTTATCCTCTCCTGCACTCCCTCGCAGGCTCCCTGACCTTTAAGCCCACGAGACCTCTGACCAAGAACAGATTCAGGTCTGGGTATGAGTGGAAAACAGCCCGAGGCAAATACCTTCTACTGGGTGTGCAGGTTAGTCAGTCAGTCAACAAACAATTCTAGCAGGCAGCTGAGGCTGGGTAGCTGGCTGGATGGCGAACAGGGCAAGAGTGTGGGTAGCAAGTATGAGTGGGGATGGGCGAACGACTGAAGCCAGGACCTGGGCTTTGAGCAGGCAGACCTGGGCCCAGGACAGCACCGCTGACTGGCTTTGTGACCCTGGGAGGTCACCCCCGGGCTGCTTCTTCACCTACCTTCCTCAAAGGTGACTGCAGCCTTCAGGATAAACATGGGTAATGCTTAGAACAGGCCTATGAGCAGGCCCAGGCCACAGGAGGGACTGAACCCACCACAGCCAACATTTGGCAATGATGGCTAGTCTCACACCTTTGGAGGAGACTCCCCCTGAGTCACCTGTGGGACATTGGAGAAGTCACCTAATGCCTCACCGCATTCCTTCCAACACTCCCTCCAGAATTGCAGGCTCAGTCATCAGCCACCCAGGACACCTCCACCCGGGGAAATGAGGCAAACCCTCCTGCCGCCGCCACCTGTCCTTCCTTGCCTTGTTTTCATCACCCAGGCAAAGCAGAACCTGGAAACTTCTAGAGCCCGCCCTTACCCTGAGACTGCCCCAGTGATGCCCCGTCCCTTTTCTTTCTTTCTTTCTTTCCTTTTCTTTTTTTTTTTTTTTTTTTGATGCTGGGATTGAACCCAGGGCCTTGCACATACTAAGCAAGTGCTCTGCCACTGAGCTGCACCCCCAGCCCTATTTTACTTTGAGACAGGGTCCCAAAAAGTTGCCGAGGTTGGTCTCAAAATTGGGATCCTCCTGCTTTAGCCTCCAGAGCTGCTGGGATTACAGGTGTGCACCACCTAACTGGATCTAGTGGTGGCTTCCGAAGTACTGTGGGACCTGCCTTGACCCCACTCCCACAGCCCTCCCTTCTTCCTCTTGTGGTGCCCAGCCTCTCCCAGGTTCCTGCCTGCCCCCCAGGGCCATCTCTTCCAACCTAACACTCCCAGCAGCAGCAAGAGGGTCTTGCTCAAGTCCACTGCCCCGGGAGTACCCCTTTGAGGCTCCTGCTGCTCTCAGGAAGACCTGGAGACCCCAGTGCCCTCTCATACCTCTAGTGCCCTCCTTCGTGTCCAGCACACCTCTCTACCCACCTCCTGAGACCCTATTTCCCTGGCCTTTCTCTGTACTCAGTCCCCATCCAGCCCAGCCTGTGGGGTGCTGGGAGGAAGAGTGCTTAGTACATGTTCAGTGAGGCAAAGGGAAGAAGGAAAGGAAACGGGGAGGAGCAGGGGCAGGAAGAAGGAAGAAGCAGTGCTGCCTTGTCTGACGGCCGAGGGGCCTGCAGCAGGGCGCTCTCACCCTCCTGGTCAAATCATTCCTGTGGGGCTGGGTTGTGGCTCAGTGGCAGAGTGCTCGCCTAGCATGCACAAGGCACTGGGTTTGCCCTCAGCACCACAGAAATGTAAAATAATGATATTGTGTCCACTTAAAACTAAAATAAATAAATAAGTAAATAAATCCTATGTGAGCATCTGCTCAGGGATGTCCCCCTGGGCTGGGAGCTCCAGAAGGACAACAACGATATGGGTCTCTCACCTTGTGGTCACCACAGAACCTGACACTGTCCTGGCACAGAGCCAGGGCTGAGTGATGATGGAGAACTTTCCAACTAGGCAGCTAAGTGGGCAGCACCGGTCAGGCCCTCTGCTAGGGAGGGCAATGCCGCAGTGCACTGTGGGGAAGGACCTTTGACCTGGCCGACAGCCTAGCCTCCTTCTGTAACCTTGGGGCACGCTTCGGGTTGAAAGCGGGGCACCTGCCCTGCCCGCGTGCTCTACCTTCTGGAAGAAGTTGTAAAGCCTGGCCCGGAGGATGTAGATGTCGGCATTGGTGGTGCCCTGCTTCACCTCCTTGGTGATGAGTGAGAGGCAGTCTTGATGCCGTTTGAGGGCCATGAGGCAGGCTATGCTGAGGGTGGAGGGCAAGAGGTGCTTGCTGTCTCAGGGGGAGGGCACAAGGGGCTGCTGGGAGGGAGGCAGGACACAGCTGGCACTCACCATCCGTAGCGGAAGCAGGGTTTGTCGGGCTGGAGCGTAGAGCCTTGAGAGAAGATGTTCAGGGCGTCCAGGTAATCGCATTGCTCATATAAGCACTGGCCCTGGGGACAGGGGTCAGTCAATGCTGCTTGCAACTCTGACCCAGCAGCACCCACCAGTTGGCAGGAGCAAAATTGGGGCAAAAGGGGAGAAACAAGAGATAAGACAAAGCTTTTTAGATCTGGGAGACTTTAAGAGACAGACACACACACACACATACAGATGCAGAGTTGGGGACAGAGAAAGAAACAGTGATTACTACACAGCTGGTGAGAGGCAGCAGCTCGGAGACAAGGATCAGAGAAACCAGGGGTGGAGGAGAACAGCTGAGCGAAAGGAATCTTTGGGGAGCTCTGGGCTAAGAACCAGAACTCGTCATCTCACTGGCACTAGTGAGTGTCCCCCTTTTGGATGAAGGAAAAGAAGTACAGAGAAATAAAGTGACTTTTCCTGAGGTCACACAGGAAGCGTCTATGAAGAACACAGGCTTCCAACAGACAGATTGAACACAAAGTTTGGGTGCCTCAAATGCTTTTTTAAGAACTGTAATTTGGGGCCTTTCAAAAGACAGCAAAGTTGTCAAAATGGAAAAAAAAACAGGATTTTGTTGGTGTTTTATAGTTTACTATTGACTTTGTTTTGAATTTTGAGTTGCAAATGAAGTCCCTACCATCTTTCAGTGCTTAGAGCCTTCCACCCTAGATCTGTGCTAACACTACAACAGCCACCAGCTGTATGTGGCTGCATAAATTAAATTTATCTGTATACTCTTTTTGCAATGTGGGGGCTGGAATCCAGTGCCTTATGCATGCTAAGCAAGTGATCTACCATTAAGCTACAACCCAGCCCAAATAAAATTTAAAATTCAGTTTCTCCGTCACAGTCGCCATATTTCAAGAGCTTAACGTTTCTAGGTGGCTGGTGGCTGCCATATTGGATGGTGCAGAGCAGACTGTTGTCATCATTTCAGGAAGTTCGCTGGACGATGCTGCAAAGCCCCCACGCCTGGCAGCAAGCTGCCTTGGAAGGTGAGAGAAACAATGGGTGGCGACACAGACACAGGGACAAGGAATCCCCAAGGAGACAGAACTGGTCGCAGGAGCAAGGAAAGCCCCTCACAGCCAGAGGGAGTGAGGCACCCGGGCTGTGAGGTGGAGCACCTGAATGTAGAGCACAAAAGCAAGCCGCTCCAGGTACTTGGGGTTCTCTGGCTGGAAGGAATATGCCCTTCGAAGGTTCTGGGCTGCCGAGGAGAAGTCACACAGCTGGATGAAGGCCTCAGCCCTCCAGGCATAGAAGTCCACCTGAAGGTGAGGAGGTCCAGGCTGTGTTCCAGCCCCACCATCTGCCCGTAAGGGTAGGGAGTGGACTCTGCCTCCCCCAGGCATGACACCCAGTTATCAGCAGGTACTTGGTGGTCTTGAAGGAAGGGACCTAGCAGGGTGACAGTGAAGGGGAAGTGTGTGCCTGAGGTTGCTGGTGCCCACAGAGGCCCTCCTCTCACCACATGGGGATCCAGGTGAAGGGCACGGGAGAAGTATAGCACAGCCATCTCCCAGTCCTCTTGCTCCAGGCACTGATGGGCTCGCTGGTAGCTGCAGTGGCAGGAGAGTATAGGTATGGGGCTGGCCCTGACTTTGGAGCAGCCCCGGGCATATGGCTGGGTGGAAGGAGATCAGGTGGAGAGGCAGGAGGGGTAGATGGTACTAGGGAGGGCACTCTGGCATTTCTGGAGCCATCAGCCTTTTATTCACTGAAGTAGAAGGGCCTCATTACAGAGTGGAGTTCACTGAGGCTCAGAGAGAGACAGTAACAGGCTCAAGGTTGCACAGCATGTTAATGGTTGGGGGTGTGGGGCAGGAACCTGAGACAAAATAGTCACTCACTACTCTCTGACTTTGAGAGGCACCGTTAACTTTATGACCTTTGGTTTTATATCATCCAAATCCAGGAACACTTGGCTGGTCCCAAAGATGCGCTTCAGGGTTCCCTTTGAACCTGGAATAACCCGTGGCTTTGGGATGTCCTCTGAGGGGACCTGGTCAATTGCCAGAGCATCCTAGAACCAAGGGACAGCAGGCTGGAGCAGGCCTCAGAGAGGACCCCCACTTACCAGGTAGAGGAGAGTGGAAAGAGGGCTAGTGGTCCCCTGACCCTTAGGGATGTTCCTGCCTCTGTCCCTCTCCTATGGCAATGTGTGGGATCTGGGTCCTCATGCCCACACCATCCTCTGGGCCTTCCCAGCTCTTACCTCCTGCTCTCAGTACTCACAGCTCTAATGTCCCCAGCTCTGATCCTGCCCCAAGTCCCAGGCCATAGGGGTTCTCAGCTCCTTGGATGTCCTATGGGACCCTCAGGGCCAGCAGGTCACGCTGAACACCTCATTGACTTCTGTGCTAGGCTTTCCCACCTGGGCTAGGGCCACTTTCTCCACCAACCACCCAAGCCGGAGACCCATGACCCAACAGCTCTCAAGCCCTGTCTGTTCCACTGCCTCAAAATCGGTCAGATGGCTCCTCTTCTCTCGTCCCACGGTCTGGGCCAATGACGTCTTGGCCTGGACGCCAGCTCTGCCCACAAGTCATGAGCTCTCGGTTCTTAGCACAGAGGCCAGGGCCTCTCTGAGTTGCACTACTGGCCCTGCCTCGGCCGTACTTTAAGCCTCTCCTGGGAACTCAGCCCTGGTGTCCCTACCCTGTCCTCTGCCTTGGCTTTAGCTTCTCCCCCAGCCCGCACCTCGCCAGCGTCTTCCATGAGGCCGCTTGAAGGAGGGCACCGACTCCCCTCGCAGCCGGGACCTCTGGCGTTGCTAGGCACCAGCTCCAGGACGCCCGCAGGCTCCGCCCCTTGGCCACGCCCCCGCGACCTGAGGGCTGCTAGAAAATTTAACGGGGGAGGCTGAGGCCGACGGCAAGGAAGAAAGTCGCCAGGCTTCTGCAGCGAGGCAGGGCCACAGCGAGGGCATAACAAGGCTCCCGCCTCCCAGGTCGGTGACTGAAGAGGGTTCCGAGGGTGCCACAAGAACCCCACAGGGCCACGCTGACGCAGAGCCGCGGAACGCGCGGGGGCGACCCGACGCGCCGCCGCCCCGCACTTCCGCCCCTTAGAGGCTGCAAGGCCCCGCCCGGACTGGACGCCCCAGCGCAGGGGGCGATGCGATTGGCCGCAGGCTGGCTGACGTCGCGGGGCGGGGCTCAGGCCCTGAATGGGGGCAGCATGTCGGCGTCCGGCCTTTCGCGCTGGGGGCTGTGGCGGTGGCGGGCCATGAGCCGGCGTGTCTTGGAGCCTCGGTTCCCCGGGAAGCGGTGGCTGGTGAGTGGGGTGTGAGCGGCGACGCAGAGGATCGGGGCCCTGGCTCTGGCTCTGCCATTGTCTCCTGGGTAAAGTTCCCCACAACTCTTTTAAGTTTTCTTATCTAGAAAATGGACCCTTTTCTCCACGGGCTGCAGCCTTTCAGGAGCTCGGTGCCTGCACCAAGACGCGCTGCCTGCCCGGCCTTCTGGAACCCCCAGGGGTTCCTGAGCCCTTTTTTGGCGCCTCGTCCTCATTCGGGCCCTGCTGTTCATTTCCGTCCTCTGCTCTGGGTCCCAGGGGATGCTGTGCTGTCAGGGGTGGTGAGAGTTGCTGGCCTCAGTTTCCCTGGTGCTGCTCGCAGGTGGCTGGCCTGGGGAACCACGGACTGCCTGGTACGAGGCACAGTGTGGGCATGGCGGTGCTGGGGCAGCTGGCTCGACGGCTGGGAGTGGCAGAAAGCTGGGCGCGCGACCAGCGCTGCGCTGCTGACCTCGCCCTGGCCCCCCTCGGGGATGCCCAGCTGGTCCTGCTCCGGCCGAGGCGGCTCATGAATGCCAATGGGCGCAGCGTGGCCCAGGCAGGTGAGTTGAGGTCCCCATGGATGGGCCGGCCCTGAGGACACAGGTCGTGGAAAGTACCTGTTGAGCTCCAATTACTGCATGACTTGGGTACTTTGGGAGCCTCGGTTTCTTTCCCTTTGAAGTGGGGTTCTCTTTTGGCCCCTCCTTATGAGAACCTGCGTAACACACCCCTGTGCAGATAGGCAGTAAACAGGACCACTGTTTCCCTGTGCCCAGCTGAGCTGTTTGGGCTGACTGCGGAAGAGGTCTACCTGGTACATGATGAACTGGACAAGCCCCTGGGGAAACTGGCTCTGAAGTTGGGGGGCAGTGCCAGGTGAGGCCTGAGATGCTCAGGGTTAGGGTAGGGATGCTGACCTCCCAGTTGGGGTGGAGAAGGGCTTCTGTCCCAGTTCCCCAGGAATGAGTCACTGTGAACCCATCCTGGGCAGGGTGGGGTGAAAGGGTGCTGACCCAAGGAAGCACTAACTGCTGTCTCATATCCCTTGAAGGGGCCACAATGGAGTCCGTTCCTGCATTAGCTGCCTCAACTCCAGTGTGAGTCTGCCCTTTTGTCCTACACTGGGTGAGGGGTGGCCAGTGGGGTATGCCCAACATACATCACTAAAGCTCTCTGGCCCACCTCTTCCCCCCACAGGCAATGCCAAGGCTACGGGTGGGCATTGGGCGCCCAACACACCCTAGTGCAGTAAAGGCCCACGTCCTGGGCTGCTTCTCCCCAGAGGAGCAGGAGTTGCTGCCCCCATTACTAGATCGTGCTGCTGACCTGCTCTTGGACCACATCCGTGCACGAAGCCAGGGTGCCTCACCAGGCCCCTGACACCAATGGACACAGCTGCCTGCCTGATTGCTGCCCACAAACCAGCTGTGCCACAGAACTGCCATGCCCACCTGTGATGTCCACTTTTTATATAACTCTTCTCTGGGCTGTCCCAGGCCACTTGCAGACTTAAGATGGGGACTGCAGCTGTCTGGAACAGTCCATTTCCAGGATAGGGGTTTGGTCATTTCTCCGCGTGCCACTTGGGATGCAGGAAAACGTCAGGAAGACTAAACTTTTGGAGTTTTTTTAGAGAGCCAGAGGTGTGGGTCTGTAAGATTAAAGATGCTGGCTTGGAATCTGAGGCTTCCTCAGGCAGATCCCATCCATCCCTCTCCAATGGGGTGGGGACCACAGGAGTAGCAAGCAGCCCCCTTCCCAGGGTTGAGTGTGCATGCCTTCGCCCACTAAGGCCCTGCCACACCTTTCTTCAGCCCATTTTACATAAGGGGAGGCCGAGAGAGGTCCAGTCACATCCCTAAGGTCACATGGGTGCAGTCTGACAGAGCCACAATGTACACCCAGGGCTGGCTGCCACCTTACTGTCCTTGGGGCTCTGGCATCCTCACCTCAGAGACACTGTGTGCCCGGGAGGGCTTCATGCGGGTGACGTATGAGAGCTGTCTGAGGTCCTGGGGGTTGGGTGGGATGTGGACCCGGCGAGGCACCAGTCCTAGATCTCCTGGCTGGTAGGGTCTGATGCCACGCAGCTGCTGCAGCAGAGATGCCGCCTTGGGTGGCTGGCTGCTGGGCTGCCTGTGGGAAGGGACTTGGGGTCATTACCTCCACTTCACAGGAGAAGACCTTTGGCTCCTTGGAGAACCAGGCCTCTGGGCCAGGCCAGCTGAGGATATCCTCCAGAATGGGTCTTATGGCTGCCTCTTTTTATTTTGTTGTTGTTACTGGGAATTGAACCCAGGAGCATTACCCACTGAGCAACATCTCCAGCCCTTTTTATTTTTTGTTTTGAGCCAGGATCTCTCTAAATTGCTTAGGCTTCACTAAGTTGCTGAGGCTGACCTCGAACTTGTGATCCTCCTGCCTCGGTCTCCTGGGTTGCTGGGATTACAGGAGTGTGTCACCATGCCTGGCAATGGCTGCTGCTTTTGAAATCACAAGGGCTACCTGCTCACCTTTCCTTGGATGGGCCACCGGACTGGGGCTCCTGGACAGGACATGCAGCTGTCTGGGGTCTCAGGACCATGGCAGAGCTGAGCAGGGCCAGCAGTTGCTTCAGCATCTCCTTGTGCTGGAGCTGGAATACCACGTCAAAGGAGCCATCCTTTTCCTCTGATTGCATCTGCCAGAGGTGGGGGCGGGGTCAGGCCCACAGTGGTTCCAAGTCCCGCCTTCCTCTGGGGATACTTCAAATCCAGTGCCTATTTTCTCATTGTCCCCTCACTGAAATGGGATACCCATTCTCCAATTGGGAACACTGAGGCCTGAGGTTTCCCAGAACCTCAAAGAAGGCATTCAGTTCTTATGAGATCTCAAACGGATTTTGTGTGTGTGTGTGCACTGAGGATTTAACCTAGGGTTGCTTTATCACTGAGCTACATCCCCAGCCCTTTTTACTTTTTATTTTGAGACACGGTCTCACTAAGTTGCTGAGGGTCTCTCTAAATTGCTAAGGCTGGCTTCGAACTTGTGATCCTCCTGCCTCAGCCTCCCGCATTGCTGGGATTACAGGTGTGTGCCAACACTCAAAGGGATTTTTGAAATCTATAGAATCAGAAAAGAACAGACTGGCCAGGAGTCTCTCAGGGAAAACAGGCCTCTCAGCTTGGCCCTAGCCTGGCCTCTTCCAGGTGGTCATACTCTTTGAAAACTGTCCTTCCACTCCTTCCTGCTGCCTCCTACTTTCTTGTACCTGCAGAATGTCCTGTAGGAAAATGGTGGCCCGGACCAGGCTCATCTCCAAGGTTTCTCGAAACTTCTGCTCCTCAGTCAGCTCCTGCTGCAGCTGCTGTACCTCCGCCTGCTGCTGCCCCAGCTGCTGTGTCAGCTGGTCTCTCTGGTCCCTGGTCCAGGGCGAGATGAGCCAGCAGCTTATCCCATTCCTGGGTTGTGACTGGCACCACCTGGGCCCTGCAATTTCTTTTTAGCCTATCCACACCCAGGCCTCAGCTGTCTGACAGACAAAACCTTGACGCCCCTATAGAGAGGGGAAGTTGTGGGCCTGGCCACGTGGCTAAATCGGATGGGCCAATCCTGGTGCCCACCTGCTCCCAACCCTCCATGGTAGGCACACCTCAGGGTCTGGTTGTCCACCTGCAGCTGCAGGAAGCTCTGCTTCAGTTCTTGCAGCAGGAGACGCAGCCGCTTGGCCTCGGTGGTACCCTGCTGATGCTCACGGCACTTCTCGGTCAGCAGGAGGATGATCTGTAAGAGTGGGAAGGTGGCCACTCCCAGACCCACCACAGGACTTCAGTTCACTCTGTACCCCCAGTTCTAGGCACGGCCAAGGCTTGCCCCCCTATACAGAGAGGCCAGCACCACTTCTGAACAGGAGCTGGGACCCCCCCCCCAAGGATGCCCTGTCCCCTCAATGTGCTGCTCTCCTTTATCACTTGGCTCCAGGCTGTGGGCACCCAAGGGCTTCAGGTGCCAAATGCAGGCTCACCTTCTGGTGGCCTCTGCTGCTCCTGGCCATGGCCTTCTGCGTGTTCTCCATCATCTCCAGCTGCCTGTGCAGCTCGCACTGGCTGCCCTTGAGCTGCACGTTCTCCTGCAGCAGCTGCATGCCTTGCTGGGACACCTTGGCCAGCTTCAGGGTCACAGTGCTGTTCTCCCTGATGGCCCGCTGTGTGGTCTCCCACATCTGGTTGGTGGCCGCTTTGCGGAATTCAGTGGCCACCAGGTTCACGCGTTGGATGATCTCTTTCCTCAGCCTGGTTGATGTGGGAGTGGAGGGATGCAGGCCCTGTGCTCCCCCTCCTCTGCAGGGGTCTCCAGAGCACCCAGGGCCATTAAACCCCTCTGGGCCTGGGCAGGAGGCTTTTCCCATCGACCCTCTGGGATTCTGGAATTTGAACCTTGGCAGTGTATTAATTATTACC